CGTGAACTTACTTTCGAGACTGGCGGCGGTAGCTGGTGCGGCGGCCGTCGTCGCCACCGGAACACCATGGAACGTATCGGCGATCACCGGATAGTAGGTCGGAGCATTACTGGTCAGGTTCACACCGCAGAACGAACCCAGCGGCTGAGTGGTGGTCAGCGGCAGCAGTTGAACACCGGGGCACAGCGTTCGGCTCTAAAAAGCGGTCAAGCGACCAATGTCATCGCCTCAACGCCGCCCAGCTTATGTCACCGAAAATACAACGTACCTGCACATTGACGCACGCAAACTGTCGTCGCGAAAGAGGGGGACTCTGAGGCGACAGAATTACATGTCGCAAGGCTCCGTTTTCGTCGACGATCTGCTGCACGATGTGACCAGGAGGTACGTTCAGCGGTAAAGGCGCGGGGGGACGTTGGCCGCTGACCATTCGCACAGTAGCCGGTCCTACAACGACAATCAAACGGTCAGAGATGAACGACACGAATAACTAGGCGACGTCTGTCGGTCGCTTGCTTAACAAACTTCAGCTGAAAGCACAACACGCAGCAACAATAATCGAGCGTGTTCAACGACAATCGTTCATTCACTGCAGCAGCCTGTCGACAGTACGCGCGACACACCTGCGTTCCTGTATGCTCCACGCGAATGCGAAACGCGACTCCACCCCCGTCCCTTCGCCCTCATCCGCGCACCCGTCCGCCACAATCCTTAAGGGCACGATACCCGTTTTGCCCGTATCGTCATCGCGTACATAGACGGTGAGTCTATATCTCATCGTACATCTGATCGTAGATCGTGAGTCTACACTACACACTGGTGACTGGCCGTAAAGACCACCGTCCACAACAGCTACGTTCGGCAGGCGTCCGACACGGCCATCGCATCGCTGCCCGTTCGTTCCATTGGCCTGTTACGTTACGTTCGAACCGTGCATCGTCTATCATACGTAACCTCTCATCTACGGGCGACAGACGAATGGATAAACTCACTGGTTTTGCGACATGCGTTGCTGAAGCGCCGCGAGGCTTAGGCTGAGCGCGTGCCGCATGCAAAGCACGCAACACAAACGAGAGAGTCATCACAGACGCCCAGAAAAAGACCAGAACACAACACACCGATTTCTAACA